AATAAGCCTTTTATCATGTATTTTCCCAATCTCAGTATCATATATCATGCTCCCTTGGCCTCTATATTTTCTGTATATTGGTATTTAGATCTAGGTATTGATCAGATTCACATTTGATTTTTGAACAAGAAAACTTTGTAGGTGATGTTGCATTCTTCCATCAAGAGATACATAGTATGTTGGAGGTCTCTATAGAAATAGTTCACAGTGTATTCGTGAACAATTCTGTTTTGGCAAAATGAATTTGTTTGTTTAAATTTGCACATATTTAACAAGTAAAAAGTATCACATCTTATTTACCCGTTGAGAAACATGCTAACAAATGGCAGAAATGTCATCATAGGATATTTTACACATTTAGTTAACCCGTAGCTTACCTCACCCCGAAAACCATAGGTAGAAATACTAGCTAAATCCTCAAAGGACTGCAGTTTACTTGTAGTAAACCTCTCACACACAATATCCAGATCTTCTTTCTAGAAGATACCAAAAGATAAATAATTATAATACTTATTTTTCTAAATCATTTTGAATTTCTCTTTTTTTGGTTCAATCTAAGAAGACAACCCTTTGAAGCATTTTTAAATTAGCAGTACCTTTCTTACTCAGCATCCAGAATACTACATTGACCTGCTCCTCCTTCTCACTTGTCTCATTCTTCAGTATCATCTGCTGGTTCTGTCTCATTCCATGACAGTGAAATAACCCAGGATGTCATCCCTCTCTATGCATACTTACTCTTTCACTTCTAAAAATTTATTATTATTTATCCCTACAGCACCTGGTCTTCCTAGGTGGTCTCTCATCCAAGTACTAACCAGGCCCGACCCTGCTTAGCTTCTGAGATGAGACATTGGGCTTGTTCAGGGTGGCATGGCCGTAGACCATGGACCGTGGCTCCACTGAGGTGCGAACCCAGGATCTGTGTGTAAATCAGACATGCTGACCGCTACACTATCTATGGAACCACGTCCAGAACACTCACTTTCCTGATGATCTCATCCAGTCTTATGGATTTCATAAAATTAGAAAACTTCTTTATTAAAAAACTACAGATACAATTTATAGATAAATTTTACAGATACATTTAATTGTAGTAAAATGTACATTAAAAAATCCTATATTTTAGGCATTTTTAAGTGTACGGTTCTGTGGCATGAAGTACATTCACATTGTTCTGCAATCATCAAGATCTGTGTTCGAACTCTTTCATCCTCCCCAACTGAAACTGTACTCATTAAACAAAAACTCTCCATCATCCCGTCCCACAAACTCCTGGTGACCACTCTTCTGCTTTCTGTTCTACTTTCTGTCTCTATGAATTTTACTACTCTAGGAATCTATATAAGAGTAACCATGCAATATAAGTTCTTTTGTGACTGGCTTATTTCACTTAACATGTCTTCAAGGTTCATCTATGTTTTAGCATGTGTCAAATTTCATTCATTTTTAAGGCTGAATATTCCACTTTATGTATATATTACATTTTGTTAATCCATCTGTTGATACGTGGATTGCTCCCATGTTTTGGCTATTATATGTTGCTATGAACATAGGTGTACAAGTCTCTTTGAGACCTTGCTTTCACTTCTTTTGGTTATATAACCAGATGTGGAACTGCTGGATCGTATGGTAATTGCTGAATTTTTTGAGGAATCACCCTATCATTTTCCATAGTAGCTATACTATTTTAGATTCCCATCAGAGTGCACAAGGGTTTAAACTTCTCTATATCCTTGGTGATACTTATTTATTTCTGATAATAACCATCCTAATGGATATCAAGTGGTATGTCACTGTAGTTTTGATCGGTTTTTCCCTAATGATTAGTGACACTGAACATCTTTTCATGTGAGTCTCCTTGCTTTTAATACCATCAAAAGAAGAGTATACAAAATTTTTATCTCCAGCTCAAACCTTTACCCTGCACTTGACTCACATATCTATCCAACTAATAGGTATCTTGAGTTTAACATGCCCCTAAATTTCCAAACCTCCCCCAAACCTACTTCTTCTACAGTCTCTCCCATCAGTGAATGGTAACTCCTCCTTCCGCTTGCACAGGCCAAAACCTTAAAATCACTCTCGATCTATCTTTCTTACACTCTACATCAGCAAATCTGAGCTTTGTCTTCATAATTAACCCAGAATCTCACTGCTTCTTACATCTCTGCTGTGATCAGAATGGTCCAAGGCACTATCATCCTTCTCCTGGATTGCTCCAAGAGCTTCCTCACTGCTTCTGTCCTGTCCTGCTACAGTCTATTTTTTGCATTATAGACAAAAGGGTTCCTACAAAACTCGTCAAACCATGTCACCTCTTTGCTCAAAACCCTCTAATAGTATCTCACCTCATTCATAGTAAAAGCCAAAGATTTCACAACAGGCCACAGTGTCCCACATGATCAGTCTGCTTATCCTTCAGATCTCATCCGTTCCTCTTCTACCCCACACCCTGTTCAAGCCTCCTCGCTGTCAGGCATGCTTCCATTTGGTGGTTTTGTATGTATTATTCTCTGCTCAGAAAACTCATCTTTCAAAGGGCCTCATGATTCACTCCTTGACTTTCTTATTGCCCTGAACAGTGCCCAGCACAGAACAGGTATTCAATAAATATTTATCGTCGGTGCTGAATTTTTCAAACAATCCCAACCACAAGAGCCCAGAGTTTCCAGAACTGGGAAAGGCTCTGCCACTTCCTGCAGATGTATCACATGAAGGTTACAAATGTCCTGCTTCTCTGAGGTGTTACTTACCCTGATTCCAGTGCCATTATCTTGGATTTGAATCAACTTCAGGCCTCCTTCTTTAACAACCACTTGAATACTTGTGGATTTTGCATCTAAACTAGCGAGTCAAACAGAAAAAATAATTTATTAGTTTGCAACAAAGCTAACACACGTACTTTAATATGAGCCATGGGATAAGAACAAATTCCAGATAAATATAAGACTGTCTAATTAATATGTTTTTCCTTTGTCTCACAGGCTCTGTGACTACACTGTTATCAGTTCACATGTTGTGTGAGAGAGGAAAGGGAGGGGCCAACGGGGAAACCATCATTTCCAATAGGACACTGAACACCATTTTTGTTCCTCTAAGAAAGAAATGAAGGTAGGTCTTTTTAGCACACGCCTTTTTACTTCCCTCTTCTCTACTAATTCTAACATTTGTTACTCGACCTATATTCAGCCTCAAAATGATCCTAATAAAATGTCATTTAAAAAAATTTGAAAATTCTAAATGTTTTTCTCTACCATTCCCCTTTCTATAAGAAAATATATTTATGTTGGGGAACAGAAAAAATGGCAACGCAGAAAGTTTTTTAAGAAACCAATAATTCTTTTGTATCTTCAAAGAGTAGCCTACAAGCATACAACACCTACCAGAGAAGAAAATTTCAGCCTGGTGCTGCATGAGTAAAAGATGTTACTGGCTCCTCACAGAGAAAATTCTTTATTCAGAAATAAGACATTAAATTACTTAAATATTAAAGACCTTTCTCACAAGCCCCTGAATTGAAGTTATATTAACCATCTTGCCCTACATATTAAAAAGAGCATAACTGGACTCCATACAAAGTCTCTGCTTATAGAATTAATTATAAGCCACCGAGCTAATATGTTTAGTTTTGCTGTACAGTATTCTGGCACACTACAATAATAGGTGCAGTTAATTCTAACATTGTTCTATCAATTAATTCTAATATTGAAGAAATAAAAGCCAGCCTTTACAAACCATGGCAAGTAAAGTCAAAAGGAGAAATCGTTCCCAGGTTCTGTGCTCCTTCTTTTGTCTACCTTCTAATTCTCTTCTTTTGCCTGAGTGATCCACTGTTCTTTCAATCCCATTACCCTGAATGGTTTATATTTTCACAATAAATCTCTTTACAAACGTACCATGCTTCGCTGGGGCTTTTTTTTTTTTTTTTTTAATGTTCGGATTTTATTAGCATCGACTGATTTTAACACAAAGGATCTTATATAATGTTCAGATATTTTATGAGCATGTGTCTTTTTTGAGGTTTAAAGTTTACGTTCACCTTTCCACATTTTTAACCTTCTTCCTCCACATTTGGTGATAGTTCTAAACTTCAGAATCCACGGATTACCCCATAAAATCAACTATCTTTGAAGTCACTCCCCTCCCCCCAAAGTAAAAGGCAGAAACTACACTAAGTGGCATCACTAATTTAGCAATAGGGAAATCACAAGTTAAATCCAGAGGAAGTCCACTGGCCTGTCCTAAAATCTCGACATTTAAAATAAAAAATTAACTTGTACTCTTGAATGTGCATGATTTGTGGAGTAAGCATGAAATATTCTCCCTCTGAAGAATGGAGATTTTCCCCACTGAAAATTGTTACATTAAAAATTTTGCACCTTCTTTGTATATATTAAGAGTATTTCTTAGTTAATGGCAACATTAAAACAATACTGTGTATCTTCCACTCGCACGCTCAACCCTAGAAAAATCTCGCGACAGCGCTCAAAAAGGTACCGGTGGAGAAGTCAGGACCCCGCGGTCTCCACTCTATGGGCATGCGCCGTACACGCGCCCACCCAGAGCCGGGAGGCGTGTCTGCGCCATGCCAAGGGGCGGCCCGTTAAATTACAGCTTCTAAGGAAGCCTGGCTCGACTCCGTCCGTACCAGTTCTCAATCATCTCCTTGATGGCATTAGCTGGACGCTGAATAACTTCCCCTGCCGCAATGCGGTTCACCACGGTCTCGTCCAGCCGCCGAATAACGCCCGCTACGAACGACATTTTGGCGCCAGACGACCCCAGGTCACGTCGAAATGCTCACCGGAAGTGCCTTCAGCCAATCACCTCAGCGCTTCGTGTTCACGTCCTTTTTCTCGACTCTGTTTACGCCGTCCTGCCCCCTCGTCCAGTGGCAGCGCCGCTTTCGAGCCAGGGAGCTATTGATTGGGCAGCTTGAATGCCAGTCAAGTTCCTTGGGTCTGGGGTTTTCTGGGTCTTTTCGTGCCCCCCTAAAGCAGTTTCAGACCACCAGCTAGAAGGACTTGCGCCTGCGCGCTAGAAATCACTGTCCGCCATTCCGGCCAATAGGAACGGAGGTGCGAATAGCGGAGGTTGGTGTCCCCCCGCTGGGGTGATCTGGCGCAGAGCGGAGGAGGTGCTTCGCGCTTGCTCCTGCTCCGCCCCAATCTTTGCGGCCCCACGGAGGTTGGCCTTGTTCTTGTGTCCTCCAGTAGAATGTGGATGACACCAAAGAGGTGCAAGATGGAAATCGAGGAGTCTCGGGGTTTCCGGCCCGAGTGGACACAGCGTTTCTTGGTGGTGGAGCCTCCGGAGGGCGAAGGGGCCTTGTGCCTGGTCTGTGGCCACCTCGTCGTACCCATCTGCGAACGCGACGTCAGGCGCCACTACGAGGCAGAGCATCAGTACTACGAGCGGTATGTGGAGGGCGAGCGCGCGGCCCTGGTGGAGCGTCTGCGTCAGGGAGATTTGCCGGAGATCCCCCCGCTCACTCCCGAGGAGAGAGCTGCTCGTGCAGGCCTAGGGCTCGCTCGCCTCTTGGCCTTAAAGGGTCGCGGCTGGGCCGAGGGAGGCTTTGTATACCAGTGCATGGAGGTGATGCTGAAAGATGTACTGCCAGATCACGTAAGCGTCATCGGTGGCATCGATTTATCTCCAGAGATCACCCAGCAAAGGGTCCTTAAAATTAACGAGAATCTACGCAGTCAGCTTTTTAACCGAGCCAAGGACTTTAGAGCCTATTCCCTTGCCTTGGACGACCAGGCTTTTGTTGCCTATGAGAACTACCTCCTGGTCTTTGTCCGCGGCGTAGACCAGGACTTGGAGGTGCAAGAAGAGCTTCTGACCATAGTCAACCTGACTCATCATTTCAGTGTTGGTGCCCTCATGGCGGCAATCCTTGAGGCCTTGCAGACAGCAGGGCTTAGCTTGCAGCGAATGGTTGGACTAACCACAACCCACACTTTGAGAATGATTGGTGAGAACTCAGGACTGGTGTCATACATGAGAGAAAAGGCTGTAAGCCCCAACTGTTGGAATGTCATCCATTATTCAGGATTCCTTCACTTGGAACTGTTGAGTTCCTATGATGTTGATGTTAATCAGGTCATAAATACCGTTTCTGAATGGATAGTTTTGATTAAGACAAGAGGCGTTAGACGACCGGAATTTCAGGCTTTACTAACTGAATCTGAATCAGAGCATGGCGAAAGGGTTAATGGACGGTGTCTGAACAATTGGCTTAGAAAAGGGAAAACTTTAAAACTAATATTTTCTCTAAGGAAGGAGATAGAAGCATTCTTGGTTTCGGTAGGGGCAACAACAGTCCATTTCACCGACAAACAATGGCTTTGTGACTTTGGCTTCTTGGTGGACGTTATGGACCATCTTCGAGAACTCAGTGAGCTCTTGCGAGTCAATAAAGTCTTTGCAGCTGCTGCCTTTGACCATATTTGTACCTTTGAAGCTAAGCTGAATTTACTTCACAGACATATTGAGGAAAAAAATCTAACACACTTTGCTGCCCTCCGAGAAGTTGCTGATGAGCTTAAACAGCATCTTAAAGAAGATGATAAAGTACTTGCGGCAGATCGGTATCAAGGTGTGATCTGTCGCCTACAAAAAGAATTTGAGAGACATTTTAAGGACCTCAAGTTCATTAAAAAGGACTTAGAACTTTTTGCAAATCCATTTAACTTTAAACCTGAATATGCCCCTATTTCAGTAAGGGTGGAGCTCACAAAACTTCAGGCAAACACTAACCTTTGGAATGAATACAGAAACAAAGACTTGGGGCAGTTCTACGCTGGATTGCCCGCCGAATCTTACCCAATTATCAAAGGGGTTGCCTGTAAGGTGGCATCCTTGTTTGATAGTAGCGAAATCTGTGAAAAGGCATTTTCGTATTTGACTCGAAACCAACACACTTTGAGCCAGCCATTGACAGATGAGCATCTCCACGCCCTGTTTAGGATTGCTACAACTGAAATAGAGCCGCATTGGGATGCTCTTGTGAGAGGAAGAAATGAACCTAATCCATGAGGATTTGTAATTCAACATTGAAACAAGAAGAATCCAGTTCTAAAGGCGAAAATTTGTTTGATTTTTCAAGTTTACTAATTTGAATCATAGGAAAGCACCAAGTTTATTCATCCAAATTGATTATGATTCAAATTCTTCTTTTTTTTTTCATCTCAAGAGGCAGCATGGGACTGAAACATGCGAACACCTCTTTTAAAACTTAATGATAAAATCATTTTCTTTTGCTTTTATGGCAGTTGTTTTAAAAAAGTTTGGTACTGATAATGTGAGTTTAATTAGAAGTCGGTTTTTAAAGTGTTTCAAAGAAATTTTAGCTTTTATTTTAACAAAATGTTAAAATTCTGATGCGTATAGTCTGAAATTATCAACTCTTTAAATGTACGTTTGAGCAAATTTACAGAAACTCAGCAAGTTTAGAAGTTTCTGTAAAGGAAGAACGTACATTCATTGGAAATATTTTGTCTAACAGAAAGTTTGAAACTATTTTTTTTAAACATTTCTGAATCTGAGGTAAATATTGACAGATTACCTCCATCTCCCCTCCTCCCTACCTACCGCAGCGATAATTATTATTACTAATAGAGAAAGTAATCAAATAAAATTTTAGGAGCAAGAATTATTTTTAAATTGCAGATTAGGAGGCTTCCTGCAATTTGGAGATCAGACTAACCAATTATTGGAGGTTTCTCCTGAATTTTTCACAATTGGGTGCTGTTTTACCAGCTTGCCTAATAAAGGACTATGGTAAGTATGGAATCTTAATGATTGCCCATTAGCAATTCTTTTTTCTATTTCAGGCAGAAGTTTGGCCTTATTAATAAGGGTAAGGAAAAAAAGATTTTTGCACACCAGAATCAGGAGGTGTGAGATATTTTAGCTTATTTGTCCTGTCTGCATGGGTGTTACCTTTACGAAGAAATTCTGCTTAAAGGAAACCCTTTATTTTATAGCGATATCAGATTTTGTCAACAGATTTTGTTAGCTGTTGGAAATGGATTTATAGAATTTGAAACTGCCCCCCCCCACATTCTGTATTTGAGACAGTGCGCACGTAAAAATATTTAGCTCTCAAGAAGCACCTTTATTCACAGATTGTAGCAATGTCATATTTCTAGTGAGACATCTGCTTTGTGCTAAAACAGTAATTCTCAAACTTAAGTTAACCGTGAAAAGGAAATCGTACAATAAAGCCAAATAAGCAAAATGATTTAAAAACAGGACCCAATTTCTAGAGTCTCTCAAGTAAATTAGAAAAACTTGTGCTAAAGTCTTGTCTTAATGATTGTAACACATTATATTCTGTGGTCACTAATCCAGCAAATTCAAGGTACCAGGATGCAACTAAGAATTTAGAAAGAACTGGTACCTGAACAATCAAAGTAGATAATATAGGATCCCGTGACAAAAATTGTGTCAGTGGTTCTCAACCAGAGACAATAACTTTTCTTTCCAAAGGATGTTGGCAAACATGGGGGACTTTTTTTGGTTGTTACATTTCCTTGGAGTGGGTGGGGCGGGGGGTGGTTCTGCTGGCATTTAAGTGCATGGGACAACCTGGGACAATGAAGAATTATCCCTCTGAAAGTGCCAGTAGATCCCCAGTGTAGATTTTTTTATTTTGAGGGATGGAAAATTACCGGTAGAAGCAAAATTAGAAGGTCAATTTGGGCAAACTAACGTAGGGGAAACTAATTCCAACATTCTAAGTTTGGCTGGTAAGGTGCAATAAAGGCCTTGATAGGTTCTGGTTGCTCACTATAGCATAAGTCAGTAATTGATTAAAGGTTCTATTCTGCTATAAGTAAGTAATTGACAAGCAAGTGGTATAAAGATGTTTATCAAGAGTGGTCAAGTTGAGATTTTGGTTAACAGGGAATAGTAAGTAGGCTTAAATATTTGAAAAACCAACATAGTAAAAAACCAACCAAACAAAAATCTACCGGTAATTTCCCAGTAGCTTGGAGTATTCTCTGTCATGGCAAGTGCTTTATTGAAAGGATGATTGGAGACCTGAAAGCTGTTTCTGCTTTCTAACCCAGTTCCTCAAATATTAAAGTCTTGTACATTTTGTGAAGTTCTAGTATATATTTTGCTTAAGGTAATAATAAAATTAGTTTGCATCATATAGTCACTGAGTGGGGGGTGGGGGAGATATAAGCCAAGGATTTTAAATGGATCCCGAATAATAGAGAGTTTACTATAAACTAGTCTTGTTTGTAAAAAAAAGAAAAAAAGTGTGTATTTTACTGTTTTCTGTATTTAGTAATTCTGTAACTGCATGGCAGTCTTTTGTGTTTGAAATATTTTTTATAAAGTAGTTGTTATTGGTCCTGTTGTATCAGTGAATATAGTTAAAATAAGTACTATTTTTAAAAAACTATTATCTCCCTGTATCTCCTATTCCTACTGGTTTCTTCTTGAAAGATTTGTCTGTATTCCTGGTCTCCCATATTTCCACTCAAACTGTTCTACTTAGCTCACAAAGTCCTTGTCAGTATTCTTACCGTCTGATACTACTGACCACTCTCCTTGAAATACTTGTTTACTTTGGCTTTGGGGCGATAGCATCTCCAGGTATGCTTAGTCTTCTTTGCAGATACCGCTTTCCCTTAAATATCTGTGTTCTTGGGATTTTTTGGCTATCTTATTCACATCATCTCTTAGCTTTCTCATCTTTCATGGCTTCAGTTACCACCTGTATGCAAATGAATCCCGAATTCATATCTCCTTTCTAGACCTTTCCTAATTCATATATCTAATTGCTAACAAGTCCATGTTGCTCTCTCATAGGCACCATGGCATGTCATTGGTCTCATCCCCAAACTTCTCCTCTCATGTGTCTTCTTTTAGTAAATGACACTACCACTACTAACCATTCAATTGCACTTGCCAAGCCAAAAACTAAGTTATCCATGACTTTTCATTCATCACATCTACTCACAAAAACCTTTCTGTTACGTCTGCCGTCTAAATTTTTCTCAGTTCTCCAGTGCTACTATTCTGATTCCAGCCATTAGCCCACCTAGATGATAGCAGCAGCCTCCTCCTTAGTTTCCCTCTCTCTGATTTTGATCCCTTTTCACACTGCAGCCAGATTGTTGCAAAAGACATTTCTGGTCACATCACTCCACTGCTTTCTCCACTGCTCCTAAGATAAGGCACAATTTCTATTTATCTTTCAGGTCTCACTTGATATACCATTTCCTCTAGGAAACTTTCATTGACGCCCTCTAGACTAGCTGCCCCTACTACACACTCCCTAAATAGCTGTTCTTTCCCAGCCACACACTTAGCACGCTTTATTGTTACTTCTTATTAATCACTGCTAGACTGTAAACTTTATAAGGGCAGGAACCTTATGCCTCGCTCACTGTTGTGTCTCTAGTGCTTAGTATAATGCCTGGCATTTCAATAAATGTTTGGATGCATAAATGTTTGTGTAGTGTTTTACAATCTTTGAAGCCCTTTCACAGTCTTATTTCACTGTCACAGTGGTCTTGCCTTAGTCTGTTCACTGGGTGATTATTATCCACATATTACAAATTAAGGAATGACGCTAAGTTTTTTTTGTGACTAGAGATCTCATTGTATTCCCAGAATTTAGCTTAGTGCTTGGCATGTGGCTCAAATGTTTATTATGAGTATGTCGTTGGGGAAACAAACTTAGATTGTAATTTGCCCTAGCAAACATAGTAGTAAAGCCAGGATTCAAACCCAGACATAATCACATAAATCCACTATGTAATTAAGTAAGTCCTTACTTCCTTGATATAGAAGTCTTTTTTTTTTTTTTTTTTTAATTTCTAAAGGCAGACTTCCAAAAGAACCTGGATGAAAAAGATTGGACAACTATTTAGTGGACTGACACGATACTTAAGTAATTAATAAGTTAAATTCAGTATCAGAAAAAGATAGTGCCACTTAAGAGTTAATATCCATTTTCCTGTTGTCAGCATCAATCATAGGAGAAAATGGCATACTATTTACTTGCTACTTTTTTTTACAGATGGTTTCTGACTCTTCTGGGATTTAAAAGTAAGTAAATTTAGCAAAATGTTAGAGGAATGACTCAGCCCTTCTGATCACTAAATATTCAGTTCACTTGCTTTCCTACCTGCAGACTGTTCTCATCACCTCCCCAAGGAAGATGATCCAAAAGTGACATCTAATGAACACTTACTTACTAGATTTGCTATATTTCCTTGGTTTCTTGTTCGTAAGCCTCTCTGAACTTAATTTCTGAATAACTGGAACCTTCAGACTTCATGGGAGAGTCATACTCTTACTCTCTTTTTCCCTGAACCATTTGGTCCAATTGACGAGATTAATCCGTGTTATACTCTTAGATGGATTTTAGTTTGGGGCACATTAACTTATTCAGAGATCTTAACAATAGGTGTGATAGTCATCCAGTGATTTCATCGGGTTTTAATCAACTGTTGGATTAAAACAGTTCTCATTTGTCTTTTTTGTAGTTGAGAAGTGGCTTCATTCTACTCAATAGGTAATTGAATTTGCGAACTCTTTCTATTCCCTAGCATTTCTGCTTACAAACTGATGAATTCTGAGTTTGTCTTTGTTCCTGTGTATCTTGTCAAATGTAGCCCACAGCAACCATAAAATTTTTTTTTTCTCTAGTAAAGGGTACATTATCTGCCTTCCAGCTTCTTTCAAGAGACAGTTTCACCCATCCATAACTTGAATTGTTCCTGCGTAAGTTATTTCTTCCATCCTCCAATAGCATCCTCCAAACTCCATCCTGAATGCCTATGACAACCAAGCCAATGTTCAATAGTTGACATTTTGTGTAAAAAGAACCAGTTTCTGTATTGGGATGGGCTAGGTTGCCATACAGTAACAACCACAAAATCTCAATGACTCACACAGTTTTTCTCTCACTTGGGCAAGGACTTTGCTCTAGATCAGGTCAGTCATAGGCAAAAATCTGTTCTGCTGCTTGTTTCTGTAAGTAAAGTTTTATTGGAAGACAGCCTTGCCCGTTGGTGTATTGTCTGTGGCTGCTTGTGTTCTACAGTTGCAGAGTAGAGTAGTTGTGACAGAATGTATGGCCCACAAAGTCTAAAATATTTACTGTGTGACCCTTTACGGAAAATATTAACTGATCACTGCTCTAAGTTGTCCTTATTCTGGGACTTAGGCTGACCAAGCAGATGCCATTTTGGGTGTGGCTGCTCGTTTTGAGAAATGAAAAGAGTCTGGCAAGTCACTCATAGGCCCTTGAAGTACTTTTGGCTAAAGTAAATCATGGCCACCAAAATCCAGTCACATGCATGGGAGGAAAACCAGAAATATTTGGAAGACAGCACTGCTGATTAACACATGGTTGTAGCTCTTCGTTTACAGAATTTCTTTCAAAATATTTTTTTGAGATAAAATTTATATTCAGTAAAGTGTGCAAATATTAAGTGTGGATTTATATTTTACTCTTGAACCCATCACCCAGATCAAGATAGTAAACATTTCTAGTATCCTGTAGATGTCCTTATATCCCTCCCACACACACATAACCACTATTCTGACCTTTATCCCTATATATTACTTTTGTCTATTTTAAAACAATGTAAATGTAATGATTATATGTACTCTCGTGTCTTTAGTTCAACATTATGTATGTGAGTCCATGTTGTTGCATGTAACCGCTGTTCATTTTTTACTTCTGTGTAGTATTCTCTTGTATGACATTATCACAATTTATGAATTTATTCTAGTATTGATGGAAATTTTGGTTGTTTCCAGTTTGTGGTTATTATAAATAAAGTTGTTGTGGACATTTTTGTATCTGCCTTTCAGTAAACATGTGCACCTGTTTCTCTTGGTATTCTCTGGTATATACCCTGCTTCCATCCTTCCCACATAATAATTTATTCACACAGCAACTAGAGTGGTCCTTTTTTAAAAAAAATTTTAAATGTAAATCAGACCATGCCACTCCTCTACTCAAAATCCTCCAATGGCTTTATAGCCAATCAGAATAAAATCAAAGGCCTATTATGGTCTCTTAAGGCCCCGAGTGATCTGTACCCACACATACCCTATACACACCCTTTTCTTCCTACGCCGTCTTATATCATATCCTTTACCCCTTTCCCTATTTCCACTTACTGCTCTACCAGGCACTGCTTGTATATTGGGAAATCAAGATAAATGATTCGGCACTATCTTTAAAGAGGTTGTAGTCTACACAGATAATTTTACCATAAGCGATAACACTGGCTAAGATATGGAATTGCAGCAGAACAAAAGCTATTTTCTGACCCCCGTTCCAGTGCCTGTCCCACTCTGCCATTGCTGTCATTACCAGAGTGCCCCGTGTCTCCAATTCCTTTTAAGGAACTATCTTAACTATCTTGACGTTTGGTTATGGCAGTCATGGCTGAGAAAGGGGATCTCTCTGCTAACACAGGAATAATCCTTTAGGAATCTAGAATTCTTTGAGATATTCTATTAGATATATGATTAAAATGATAAAATGTTCATATTTTGATATATATTCTGAAATAGTTTAAATGGTATACATATTACCTGTTTCTAGAGGGTTTGAAAAAGTTTATCTGAAAGGAATGAATTAGTGCCACATTAAGGTAATTATTGACAATTTCCCAATTCTATGTCGTGCATATTGAATTTCAATTTTTTTTATTTTCCTAGGAAATTTTCCATTAAAGTTTTCAAATGTATCGAGTTTTTATTTTAGCTCTTCTATCTCTGGTTATACTCCCTCTCTCATTCCTAATGTTTGGGTTTTATATTTTTATTAATTACCCTCATTGCAGATTTTTATTTTCATTTTTTGTCTTTTTCAAAGAATTTTCTCCTCTGTTTATATATCCATGCTAATGTTTTCTAATTTTTTTGGCTGCTGCTTTTGTCTTCTTTAATTCTTCCTATTTTTTATTTTTTCCATATCCTTTAATTGAAAATTTTTATGCTTTATTTAATAATCTGTCTTCATTATACATCAAACCTATTATTAATATAAATTTCTAAGCCTATATTATTTTATTGCTTTGAATTCTTATTTGGCTCATGGTGGATACTGTGCTGACCACTGAAATAACTCCTTTAGCACTGAAGTTCTTATTTAATCTCTTACAAAAACATTTTCTCATATTATTACGATGCTACTGTCATTACAAGGCATCACACTGAATAATAATTCTCTGACAAAAACTAATGCCTAGTCCATATTCAGATTTCTCTAATGGTTTTCAAAAGTGATTTTTCATAGTTGGCTTCAAATCAGGGTCCAAGCAAGGTCCACACACCATATTTAGTTGTTGCGGCTTTTAAATCTCCTTTCATCCTGAGGAATCCCTCCTCTTGCTCCCTAATTTTTTTCATGCCATTGTCTTATTGAAGAAACCCGGTCAGCTGTATAGAATATCACATTCTAGATTTATCTGTTTTCTTTCTAGTCACGTTTAATTTGTTACTCTTCCATGTTTCGTGTAGTCTTGAAGTTAGTTCTGAAGGCTTGATTAGGTAGATGCAGGTTAATATTGTCACTGGAATCCTGGAAAGGTGGTACTGTGTACTTATTGCCTCACATCAGGATCACAGAGTAACTGGTCTTCCCAGTATTAGTAATGCTAAAATTGGCCAATGGTTTTAGATGGTTATTAGCCTGATCTTGTTTGTGCCAATTTCCCTACGAGTCTTTCACTGGATAGTTTTGATCCATAGATCATTGTTGCCCAAATCCATTATTAATCAGGACTTACAATATAGTTATTTTTCTAACTCTATCATTCCTTCTATATTTATTATCTGAAATTCTTCTATAAAGTAGAATTTTCCGTATTAACTACAGCTATTGGGTTACCTCGAAATATAATTTGAAGCACATATGCAATGGAGTCACAGTCAAGATCCATAAGGACAGGAATTTATTTTGCTTTACTGATGAATCTCCAGTACCCAGACCAGTGCCTGGCACTGATAGGCCTTCATTAGATAATTGTGATAATTGTTGAAGTCAAAATAAATGTTCAATTCTTCCCCTTTAATTACTAATTTTCAGAGTTAGGAGTTATCTTTTATTTATTTGCGGACTTCATATTTTACTAAAAACTTTTATTTATAAAAAGACTTTTATATTTTTAATTGCTTTAGTCAGTTCACAGTCATTCTTTTTGATGCTCACGTTGCCTCATCCTTGATCACTGGGAACTTCTCTGAGATGGCTCCTGTATCCTCTGCCATGATCCCATTAGTCTTTGATAGCATCCATGCATTTCTGCAGAAGATGATCCTGGCTCATCTCTACATTCCTACCCCGTACTTGATCGGGAGCCACAGTTCCTTAAAATAGAGAATGATGGGCAGGGACCACCATTATGATGTTGATGTTGCTTGTTCATGGGCTGTCATTGTTTCTAGACCTTCCTAGTGGACAGAGCTAAGACATATATTTTTTGATGAGAAAACAGGCAATATTGATATTTCTAATTCAAATGTAACATTGCACGGTTTTTATTTAACTTCTTTGATTTTGTACCTTTATTTCTTTTAAACTGAAAATATTTGTTTCTAAAATATTAATATCATTTGCTTTGTCTTATAATGTACAGAAAATACTTTCAGAATTATATTTAAAATAGTAATATTACTAGTGGTAAGATTACTAAATGAAATCGAGAATTCTGTCTAGTTCTAATTGACAATATATTCCACTAAGAATGTACAGTTAAAATACTGTACTCCAAAGTTAATTGAAGTAATTTTTTGTGTATGGTTATGTCACCAACTTGATACTCATTTAGATTTATTTGTTCCAGTCTGGGACAACTTTTAGATTAATTTTTCATTTTTTATTTAATTTTATGTTTTTTATATGTAAAGGAACTATTGCTTCTGAGGATAAAATTATACGATGTCTCATTACCATCCTTTCCCTTGTTATGCAAGGTGCAAGACTGAAATTAACCCTGGGTTCTCACCTTGGATTGTCTGGAAGATGAACTAGCTAGGCTCTCCTTTTTCTTGATGGGATGACAGCACCTATGAAGACTTAAGGCCAACTGCAAAATTAGAGGGAATACCATCTGTAGAGAGAGTTTACATAATGCAGCTTTATTCTGGAAGCTACAAAACACTTGAAAAATTAAAGATCTCTCCTTTGGGATAAGTCTTTCAAGTAATTTTCTCTAGAAGTGAACATAGTATAGTTTTTTTAAATCTACATTTCAAAATTATACTTCATTAAATTTTCTAGGATATATCTAGGTATGGGTCTTTTTACTGATTTTTTTTTTTTTTCTATGAAGGAGCAACTTACAGTGAACTATTTGTCCCGTTCATTGGCCTTTTGGGTGAGAAATTAGGGCTGAAGAAGGGTTGTTTTAAAATGCAGGTTTTATTTTTAATCAGGTACGGCAAGGCCAAGAGATTAGGAGATGACTTCCATTGAAAAGACAGTTTGTTACAGTTCCCAAGAGGAGGGAACACGCCACGCCATGCAGGGCCACACCAGGAAGCACCAAGGTCAGTCAGGAGCCATGAGTGGGGAGAAAGCCTGGGCAGGGATCTCTTCTGTAGTTTCCATGAAAAAGGCAAGGCAAGGCAGGGTAAGCCAGATTAAGATTGGCTAGTTTGAGTAATTTCAGCCAGTTTTGGGAAATAGGAGCTGTCTCTAGTTGTCTAGTACTTGGCCATGGGATGGAGCAGAGGAATATTGCCTCCTAGAGTGGAAGAGTAGGAGCAAGTGGTTCAAAATTTATGCTCTAGATTAGTTGGTTTGCATGTGAAATGAGTAGGAATTATGTACCTATGTCTAGGAATTAGCCAGCCCTGATGGGGCAGTCCCTCTTAGGTCAGCAAGGCCACAGATGCCAAAGCATCAAGAATACAGAAAATAAGAAAGTACAGTTCATACAAGGGATACCTGCCATTACTGATCCCATGATTTCCTGGCAGGGAAAAAGTAAGCCAGCTCAGAGGTAGCTGGCTTATGCTTGCAGATGGTCACGGGATTCATTTCAGGAGTTTCCTGTTGAAAAGGACACTGGCTCTTTCTTCAGGCATGGGTATGTCAGTCAAGGGCAAGCCAGTGGTTTGATAGAGAATTCAGTTCTGGCTTTTGTGCTTGCCTTGGGTTCCTCAAGTTTTCATGTAACCAGGAAGCTCACCAGCCCACCAATGCTGTCAGATTGGGTACTGCCTATAGCATCTGGTTTAGTCTCCTGGTGTATCACAGGAGTCACCAAGACAAATCAGAGACTCAGCCTTCTCCGATAAAGGAAAATTATTTGTTAGTTGGGTACAGCCTGAGGGATAAATGATGGTGGGAGTTCCTTTATGGCCCATGGATTGTGACCTTTCTCTGTTGCTCTTTTACCAAGTGTGCTTGACTGTTGTCCCATATCTTGAACACAGGCAGAAACAGAGGACACCAGTTATTCAGCCTCATTGGTCAGGCAGCTCTGCAGGACACTGTCCATAACTGGAGGTTCAAAGTAGATCCTTGTTTGACTCTGTTCTCATAGCCTCTATAGAGAAGGTATGTCCTTCTCTACCTGTTATCAAATGTCAATTATTGTTAAAGGTTTGGGTGGTACATTGAGGGGTGTCTCATCTTTTGTGTATGTTTAAAAACTCTATAATAAAAAGGTTTTAAAAAATGAAACAGGTTTACACCACTAGGTTAGCTACTTAAAAAAATAGAAAATAAGTGTTGGCAAGGATGTGGAGAAATCGGAGCCCTTGTGCATTTTTGGTGGGAATGTAAATGCTACAGTGATTATAGGAAGCAGTATGACAGTTCTTCAAAAAATTAAAAACCAGCAATTCCACTTT